CCCAGGAGCATCCCGACGGCTCAGAATCTCCAATGTAGAGGAGCGGGAATCCCATCCAGCGGGTCTCACTCAATCGAACGACAAGAGTCGACGCGGCAGGACCTTCTACGCCGACATCGAACCTAGGGAAGAAGCCTAGCTGTCAGCGCGGGCTTGGGAAAGGTAGATATTCATATTTCGGGATGCTCGATTACAGATTGTGTGCAGAGATTCCTCATTATTTCGGTCAAACCGCATACATGACGAACGACACTAAGACAAAATCGATGTTTAGAAATCCAGTTTCAGTTCGACCTGTAAGAAAGAGGTCACCACCCGATACAATTCTGACAATGACGAAAGCCTACTGAGCCGGTTTTCATCGCAATATGCGCCCTAAAATCTGACGCGAACCTTATTACTTCCCCCGTGCCTGTTGTTTTGCAGAAGGTGCAGTCCACAGGGATTTCATTCAATACCAACCAGAGTGAGTAGTTCTGGAGTCTACAGATCCGCGGCCGGTGTCGTCCCAAGCAGGGCTGGTAAGCGTCTCAAACAGAGGGCGAACCAAGCTGTGATGCTATCTGAATCAGAGGTCGCGGACTCCCTGTCTGCGTGGTCCATTGGACAGATAGAGGCGGTGCGGACACACCCAGAACCGGGAAATCGTGGCAAAGCGTCCATTTGAGTGAGGAACTGGCCAATCTTGCGGCCTGTCCGCACTCGGCATCGTGGTAGAGATGATACTTATCGCCAGAGATGTATTTGAGCTCGGGACGACGGTCCGGGACTGACTCGAATGTGCGAATCGGGAGTCTCAGACTCTCAGGGAGCTCAGCGCCGCTTCCAGCGTCAAGTCCTTCCATTCACGCGGTGGCAAAGACAGCGACAGGATCCTCGTCGAGATATTCACGCAGAGAAGAAGGGCGAAGCCAGTGATAGTACGACGCGGTGGAGGTGGAACTGAAATCGATCCCATCCGTGGAGCGGAGGATGACATTCGCGGCGGGGTTGTCGAATGGAGGCCCAGGGACGGAAGGAGCTCAGTGGGAGGGCGTCGCCATATTGTGCGACTCGGACGTGATCAAGAAGTTGCCAATGAGGAATGATTGAGGACGTGTGCGACGAAGTGCCCTTCGCCTCCCCCACTAAGATTTCCTTTTGAGGAAATTGCTTACAACGTGAGGTCTTGTGTTCGATCCCGGGCTGTGCGCTCTTTTAAATTCGGTGTAGCCGCCTCCTCCAGCGATAGCTCATGTTATATCCGTAATTCAATTCAATTTATTTTGCTGAACACACCATTTTTTGGAACATTTTACATGTCCTTCAAACAGCATACAATATACCTGAACCCTAACACTAACCGCTAACCCGAACCACTAACCGCTAACCCTAACCACTAACCTCTAACCCGAACCCCTAACCTAACCTAACCACTAACCCGCCGCTTCACCACGCAGATGAAAATAAAAATAGAAAAGCAAATGCGCGTCAGCAGGTTCGAACCCAAAGGTGGACAGATTAGGTCAGCACATCTGTAACAACAAGATTCCTGCGCAACACATTAGACCTCTCCGGCAGTCTTCCAACACAAATTTGGTTCCGCCTCGCAACAGGTCCCCTCTGCGCGCGCTTCACAGCATAACACGTAAGCATTTTCCTTTTTAGGAAAATCATAGTGGGGGAGGCGTGGGTCAGCTTGTGCGACGTCTCGGAAGAAAAGAAGGAAGGTCACAATATGTCACGCGTGACACTCTTGCCTCTTCCCACCACAGTACCTTCGGAAGTTGGCCGCCTGAGCTCCGAGCCAGAAGCCCAGGCACACATCCAGAATATCTCTCGCTTCCCCCCATCTAATGGAGCCGGACCACATTCAGATACCGCAGGAACTGGTGAACCACATCATTGATTTCCTCGACGATAGCCCGACCGATTTGATGGCTTGCGCCTTAGTTTCCCGGGCATTTGTGCATGCGGCCCAATCTTATATCTTCGAAGAGCTATCCTTCGGTGATTATGGACCCCCAAGAAACAAAAACACCATCTTGTGGTCTCGCTGCCAGGAGACACTGCATACCTCCCCACACCTAGTCCAGCACATTCATCGACTCACAATTCATCCCCGCCCGATATCTCTCGAAACAGTCTCCGCCATCTGCAATTTCCCATTCACTCATTTGAAGGAAGTTTACATTTGCCATTTCATCCTATCCCCTTCGTTTGCGATCGCTCTGCAGCAGCTGTTTAGTCTGCCTACTCTCCGTTTTGTTAGCCTGGAGGGCTGGTATGGCGACCCTTCGACATTTATGCAGATCTGGGAGCGCTGCGCTCCTGGTATCAAGCACCTGGGACTCAGATTTTCCCCGACATCGACCGAGGCCTTCCAGCCCACCTCGCACCGCTGGCCCGCGCCTATTCGCCTTGACTCACTCCAAATCATGCACCGAATGATAGGGCTGCTTGACTGGATGGACCACGCCTTCTGCCCATTCGATTTCTCGGGGTTGAAGGTGTTGTCGATCTCAAGTCATGCAGAAGTACTCCGCTCGTCAATGATTGCACCATACCTCCGAACGCTTGAAGCCCTCGACTTTACCGCTTCCGTGCGCCTTTCGATTTTGTTCCCAATCCGTCCCACTCATCTTCTTGACAGACCTACGACGACTCCATGATCGACCTCTCCACATTCCCATGCCTCGTGGTGCTCCGCATTTCGATACACCACGGGGAATTTGTTTGGCCGATGGTACTCGACACTCTCTCGACAATTTTGCCCTCGAATAGCATCCGCAAGATCGTGATCGGTGGTATCTTCGAGGATAAGATCGCCGCTGAAGAGCTCGACTCCAGGCTCTCAAGCCTTCCCATCCATCACTCGCCAGCTTTTCACTTTGAGATGGATCCTGACGAGTACGACAGGTTCGCACCCACCTTGTATTGGTTGAGTTCCACAAACATGGTATGTCATCTAATCACATATCTGCTCGCCTGTCCTTATTTCTCTGGATCTGGTAGCTCCGTCGCGCCGAGCGTCATTACGATGATTGGTTTGAGGTGAGTTTTATCACTCGTGTCTCGGAGTGTGCGTTTCTTACAGGCCTGCGCAGAGCTATACACGCGCTTTATGGTAGCTCAAATCATGCATGATGTATGTGGGTCAATAAATCAGTGCATTGTGATCTATTCTCCCTCCTTGAACTTGGGTTCTACAACCCGATTTCAGCCTTATTCTCATCTCAGGATTATAGAGTATGGAGCCAGGTTCGCTAGAATGGTTACTGTTCAGCAACGCAGCCCTGGTTCACAAGACCGCCATCCCGCGTCTCTGCCCTCTAGCACGAGTATTGTAGGGCCAACCCATGTTTCCGCTGCGCCTTCCTCGTCCTCTCGGAGCTGAGCAGCTCTCTTCTCTTTATTGTCTCCTTGGTCACCCTTTCATTCCAATATTGGATCTTCCCGGCACATAGGGTGGGTCTGAAGGATAGTCCTCAAGCCGCACTCCCACTTCAGCCTTCCCTCTCTGAGCCACTTTCCAAACCACTCCCGCACATATGTTTAAGTACTGTACTCTTCCTTCACCGCGAGTGTCGCTATGTATTTAGAATGCCGCCCGGCCGCCCGAGAATACAATTCAGACTAGAGTCGTCATAGCGGGGGTCCGAATCGAACGGGCTACTTCGGGGGGTAGAACACTTTGTCGTCACATTAGTCCCCGGTGCACACCGTAGGCTACCCCACCATACACCCCGTGTTCTTATCCTCATGATATAATGATATACCGTAGATATCCATTTAGCTGTAAGGATCCCAAGAGAGCCGACGAAAAAAAGAGTTGATGCCTACTCCGAATGGCGGGGGCCCGAGTCGAACGGGCGCCTCTCTGAGTAAGTATCATATCTTGCATCGAGTTGAACACAGTGCACACCGTGTGCTACCCCGTCTTTCGCGCCCCATCGCGCCCTCATTATTTACGTATCTGAACCTCCATGTAAGCGCGGAGCTGACGAAAAAAAGAACGTTCAACCTTTCAGATAGCGGGGGGTCCGAATCGACGAAACTTTCATACAAACCTCTGCACATCGTATGCTACCCCGCCGTCCTACTCACCTCTTTAACCGCTGAGAATTTGCACATATCCACCATAACGGTGGGTCAGCATTCATCGACTTCAGGGGGAAAGGTATCGTCCTCTTTCCGTATAGCTGATCGGATCTCTGTATTTTCGCGAAGGATCGTACGACGAATCTATTCTCTACATGTATCTTACCCACAAAACTAGCCAGGGGCGACGACAAAAAGACCGTTCCAAATTTTGCAGATGGCGGGGACCCGAGTCGAACGGGCACCTCCAGGTAATCATTGCATCAGAGTAATCCTCGAATACAATTTACCAACCTGGCGCACACCGCGTGCTACCCCGCCTCCCCTCCAGCTTCCTACCCTCGCTATTTCCTACTGTGAATGAACGATTTAATTAGCCACAGTGACCAAAAGCATGTTATGGGCTCTTCCCCATGGCGGGTGCCCGAGTCGAACGGGCACCTCTGAGAGTATGTACTGATCAGAAGTCCGCACAGTTGAGCACAGTGCACACCGTGTGCTACCCTGCCTCCCATCCTCCCTCCTACCCTTCGTTATTTCCTACTGCGAAATCACGACTTGATCAGTTACAGCGAGCAAAAGCATGCTATGGGCTCACCCATGGCGGGGGCCCGAGTCGAACGGGCCCCTCCGAATGTGGTACAAAGGCTCCCGTAAGTTGAACACAGTGCACTCCATGTGCTACCCCGCCTCCACGACTTGATTGGCCACACCGTGCAAAAGCATATTATGGGCTCTTCCCTATGGCGGGGGCCCGAGTCGAACGGACACCTCTGAATATGGTACAAAGGTTTCCCGAAAGTGCACTCCATGTGCGACCCCGCCTCCCATCCTCCCTCCTACCCTTCTTTATTATTTCCTGCTGTGGAATCCCGACTTGATTAGTCACAGCGAGCAAAAGCATCCTATCGGCTCACCCATGGCGGGGGCCCGAGTCGAACGGGCACCTCCAGGTAATCATTACACCTGATCCTCGAATACAAACCCAGCGCACACCGTGTGCTACCCCGCCTTCCTTCTTATCTCGTACACCTCATTATATCCCCCGATGTTTGGCTGTCAAAATCTCAATGGCGCCCAAGAAAAATACAGTCTCAAGAGGAGAAGAAGTATGACTACCTGGTGCACACCGTCTGCTACCCCGCCTCTTTCTATCCAGCACGTACTCACCCAGCGAGGGTGATTAACCCGGACTCTGTCGGCCGAGCGAAACAAAAATATGGTGCGCCTGGGACCCATGGCGGGGGTCCGAATCGAACGGGCTCCTTCAGGACGGTATAATTTAATTTTTCCGAACACTAGTCCCTGGCGCACTCCATGTGCTACCCGCCTCTCATCCTCCCTCCTCGAACGGGTCTTCTGGGATGTAATTCTTCTGTGACTAATTGAACCGAGTGCACACCTGCGCTACCGCGTCTTACACTCCGTATGCTTCACCTCATTATATTTGGCTGGCAGAATCACAAGGGAGCCGACGAAAAAAAGGATATTCTCACTTGTTCTACGGCGGGGGTCCGAGTCGAACGGGCACCTCTGTGAAGTATAGGTAAAGGCTTTCCCGCAGTCAAACACAGTGCACACCGGGTGCTACCCCGCCTTACACCCCAAGTTCCTACTGTACGGCCCTGAAGTGAAGCAACGGCTGGAGGACCGTGTCATTTCCGTTGCCTTTTTGTCAGGCAACGGATGGGACCGTGAGCGTGACCGTTGCAAAATCTTGCAACCATCAGATACCTCTTCAACCATTAATAAATTATTACCTTGCTATATTGAGTTTGAGTGAATCTTTGCAGCTAACTGGACCTTACCCTCGCACCATAAACAAATTTGCTAGCCGAGATTTTTTGAGGGATTTTTCTCATGTCTGTCACGGTAATTCTGAGGCAACGGCCCTCATCCTGACCGTGACCGGCCCAAAATTTTGCAACGCAACGGCCCTCACCGTGACCGTGACCGTTGCTTCACTACAGGGACGTACAGTACCCTCATTATATCCTGCCATGTTTAGCTGTCAGAATCCCAAGGGAGCCTGAGAAAAAATGTACTGCAATGGGACGGTATGACGGGGGCCCGAGTCGAACGGGCACCACTGTGAATATGAGTCCGAAATGTTCCACCCAACTAGTTGAGCACGGTGCACACAACGTGCTGCCCCGCCTCATTACCTGGGGGGTGTACCCGTAGCATAGATATGCTTGATACATGATACATCCAAATTCCCAACTCACCACGCCGGGGGCCGGTGCACCTTTTCATCAAACCGCCCGACGAGCCGAGACGCGAGGGAAAGGGCGAGTTCTGTCCAGTGCGTACATAGGCATCTTCCGCCTCCCTCCAAACCAAAAAAAAAGGGGTCAACAGCGGCGATGACCTGACCGCGAGTCGAACGCGGATCATCTGGTTACATGGTTTCACTTGAACAAACCCAATTGAAGCAGAGGCACTACCTTGTGCTATCAGGTCGTTTTTATCCAAGGCATTCTTGGAATAAACTACGTTCGTTTGGAAGCTCCGAGCCGAGCGCTGTTTGGCGCTGCTGCTCCCTCGGTAGCCCGATTTAATGTGAAACCGAGTCCTAGTGGCACTGGGCCCTACCATAAAATTGGCCAGAGATACAACGTGCGGTTATATTTAGCCTTTCTATCCAAAATATCTCCTGGAAGTTAAGAACGATTTCTGTGCATGAATGTGACGCAGAACAAGTGGGTCACAACCGCACGTGAGCGTGATCAACCTTTTCTCCCTCCTCGATGTCCTTCTCGACGACGGCGGCGAGCAGCGCCGAGACCTGCATGAGCCTCACTATCTCCTGCATCAACGGCCCCCAATCCAAGCTCTTCGAGGTCTCCTCGGCCCGCATCACATCACTGAGTATTTGGACTTAAGAAGTGCGCATCAACGACTACCTCGAGTCCTACCGCGCGACGGGCCGCGCGCCGCCCTGCCCGCCGTACCCGGCCGAACCCACCGCGCGGGCCGCTCAGCGCCTCCCCCCGCTCTTCGTCCCGACGCCGTTCTCCGCGCTGGACCAGTTTGTGAGTATTTCATGCCGCCCCGAGTTTGCGGGGCATAGCGTCGAGGTGCGTCGCGGATTTATGCACTCACGCAGAGATTAACCTTCCCTGCGTTGTTTTCTCATTACCCAGGAATTCCGCCTCTCCTGCCTCCGCATCGGCGCGGAGCTCACCTCCCCCCAGATATTCTCCGCCCTCACCGCCGCTCCCACCGCCGCGCCAGTAAACCCGCTTCTCCCTTCCTCCTTACGCCCCACAAACTCTTTTCTGCCTTCCTCTTCCTCCTCCGAACAACAAAACCCCTCCCCGTTCGCCCCGCAACCGCAACCGCAATCCCCTTTCGCACCCCCGCCCCGCCGGCGCCGGCGCCGCTCTTCGGCACGGCCGCGCGCCCCGTCGTAGCGCAGACGTTCCCGTTCAGCGGCGCCCACCCTGAACCACCTGCGCCTCCGCCGGCCGTGTTCGGCCAGCCGGTGCAACCACCTGGGAGTGTCTTCGGCGCGCACTACAAGCACCTGCCGAGGCGGAGGGCTCTCGTTCCCTTCACACGCGGGATGATGCCGAGGTCTAGGGCACCGCCCTCGCCATCGCCGCCGCCCTCGCTTCTAAGGAGCCCGAGATCCTGCAGAACCATGGCCTCCTCGTCGCGGCCAACCTCATCGCACGCCTCTCCGGTGCGCTCCGTCGTCCGCGTCATTCATCCGCGCACTTACTCACTCACACCCTGTGGCGCACCCTTGCGTCAAACGCCCGCCGTGTAAAGTAGTATGTACATAGTCCAAATGTCATTCAGTGTTATTTGATGTCAAATAAAGAAGAAGATGGGAGTGAAATAGAACCCGGACTCTGTGTCGTTGAACTTCTCGCCGTCCGCTATCTCATTTTCCCCCATGCACTCCATGTGCTACCCCGCCTCACATCCTCCCCTTGAGACTTGTAGATTACACCGAATAATTCAGGAATCAGCACAGACACGGATATTCGCGCGCAGGACAATATTATTCCTTTATTTCCTCGCTGGCGCCCTCGTTGCGGTGAATTACAGTCGATTGAAGATTTGGGGAATGCCTGGCGTCAAGAAAAATGGAAAGCATGGCTCATGGCGAGGGCCCGAATCGAACGGGCTCCTTCATGGAATTTATATCGCCATTTTAGGTGTTCCTGATGCACTCCGTGTGCTAGCCCGCCTTCCATTCTGTGTTCTGCCAATGGTATATCCTATGCCAGCGTACATTTTTCAAACTCTCCCAGATCCTCGGCTATGTTACGGATTTCAGCCAAGACGACAAAATTGAAATCATGAAGGGGGTGGCGGACCAGCGCGCGTCTGGTTCGCAGGCGTGTTTCCTTGAGCTTGGTTGGCGGGTGGCGGAATCAATGATTAGCATGTCGGTCTCAGATTGCCGGCAGACGCCGGGACCGTAAGGCAGAGTCACAGTCGCACGTGAACGTGAGAGTCCTACCTCTTCCCACCACCGTCGACGGGCCAGAGCTCCTAAACGTACAGGATACTCGCTTCCCTACCACATCCAATGTACCCGGACCACATTCAGATGCCGCAGGAACTGGTGAACCACATCATCGATTTCCTCCACGACACCCCGACCGATCTGAAGGCCTGCGCCTTGGTCTCCCGTGCATTTGTATATGAGGCCCAATCCCATATTTTCAAAGAGCTATCCATCGGTCATTTTGGAGCGATGAAAAGTGATATAGACGCCTTGTGGTCTCGATGCCAGGCGACAATGCATGCCTCCCCACACCTCGTCCAACACATTCATCGATTCGAACTCTATCCCCGCCCGATGTCCACCGACACACTCTCCACGATCTGCACTTTCCCATTCACTCATTTGAAGGAAATTCGTATCTCTCCGGTCATCCTGTCCCATTCGATTGCGATCGCTCTGCAACAGCTGTTTGGCCTGCCTACTCTCCGTTTCGTGAGACTCCACTGTTCGTTCAACAGCCCATCGACACTTATCGAGATCTGGGACCGCTGCCCTCCTGGTCTCAAGCACCTGGAACTCAGATGTTCCCATCTGAGTTCCCAGACATCGACTGAGGCCTTCCATTCCACCTCTCACCGCCGGCCCGCGCCTATTCGCCTTGAATCACTCCGAATCATGGCCCCAGTGATAGGGTTGCGTGACTGGATGGACCACCCCCTCTGTCCATTCGATTTCTCCGGGTTGAGGGTGTTGTCGATCTCCGATCGTATAAAAGTACTCCGCTGGTCAAAGATTACACCAGCCCTCCGAACGGTCGAAGTGCTCGACTTTGCCGTTTCCGTACGCATGCCGATTTAATCTAACACGGTCCTGCTAACCTCCTTACAGGGTCCCGACACCAGGATCGACCTCTCTTCATGCCTAGACCTCGTGTTCCTCCGCATTTCGGTAAACGGGTACTGTGACTGGCCCATGGTACTCAACACTGTCCTCTCGACGATTGCGCCCTCGAATCATATCCGCAAAATCGTGATCTCTGGTGTCTTCACCTATGGGATCGTAGCTGAAGAGCTCGACGCCAGGCTCTCGAGCCTTCCCATGCATCACTTGCCAGCGTTTCACTTCGAGATGGGTCCCGACGAGTACGACAGGCTCGCACCTGCCTCGCATCGGTTGAGTTCCACAAACATGGTATGTCCTCTAATCAGATATCTGCTCGCCTTTCCTTATTTCTCTGGATCTGGCAGCTCTGTCGCGTCGAGCGTCATCGCGATGATTGGTTTCATGTGAGTTTTATTACTCGTGCGTCGGAATGTGCGTTTCTTACAGACCTGCGCAGAGCACCACACGCGCTTTATGATAGCTCAAATCGTGCATATTTGTCAATAATCAGTCCATTGCGATCCATTCTCCCCTTCAACTTGGTTCTGAAAAATCCACACATCGATCTCAGCCTCACGCGCCTGTCAAAAGTATACAATATGCAGCCAAGGTCACTGGAATGGTTATGTTTCAGCAGCGCGGCGCCGGCTTCCAAGACCGCCATGGGGCAGCTGTGCCATCTATGATCTAGCTGCTGAGTATTGCGGGGTCCCCATGTTTCCACTGCGCCTTCTGCGTCTTCCTCGTCCTCTCGGAGCTGACTAGCCCTCTTCTTTTTATTGTCTCCTTGGTTCCGCTTTCATTTAGTCTTGGATCTTCCCGGCACATACAGTGGGTCTGAAAGATGGTCCTCGAACCGCACTCTCACTTCATACTCCCCGCTTCGAATCACTTTCCAAACTACTCCCGCACATATGTTTGAGTACTGTACTCTTCCTTCAGCGCGAGTGTCGCTATGTATCTCGAATGCCGCCCGGCCGCCCGAGAATATAATTGAAAAATATGATGTGACTGGGATCATGGCGGGGGTCCGAGTCGGGCACCTCTATGGTATGCGTCGAAGTTTTTTGTCGCCTAGTTAAACACCGCCTCCAATCATCCCTCCCACCTTTGTTATTTCCTACAGTATATGAACGACTTGATTAGGCACAGCGAGCAAAAGCATGTTAAGGGCTCTTCCCCATGCCGGGGGCGCGAGTCGAACGAACACCTCTGTGAGTTAGTATGGGTCGGCGATTGTTCACTCAGTTGAACACAGTGCACACCGCGTGCTACCCCGCCTTATACTCCCTCCTATCCTCGTCATTTCCTACCGCGAAAGCCCGACTTGAATTAGGGCACGGATTCAAAAGAATGCTGACAATCATCCTGGACAATAACGGAGCCCCGAGTCGAACGGGCACCTCTGTGAGTAAGTATGGATAACCGAGTTTCGCAAGTCATACACAGTGCACACCTCGTGCTACCCCGTTTTACCACCCCAAGGCGCATCGCCCTACATCCTACACGGAAAGTGGTAGATGTATGTATGTCCGCTACCGGAGTTGTAGTAAAATCTATATTGGGCGCGGTCGAGGGCTCGCTGATCTCCAACTGTAGGCTTTTTAAAAAAATGCAGGTTCAAATCTACGACGGGGGCCCGAGTCGAGTGGACGCCTCCGAATATGGTACAAAGGTTTCCCGATAGTGCACTCCATGCGCGACCTCGCCTCCTCGCCTCCCTCCTACCTTTCGTTGTTTCCGACTGTGAAGTCACGACTTGATTAGTCACAGCGAGCAAAAGCTCCTTGTGGGCTCTTCCCCACGGCGGGGGTCCGAGTCGAACGGACACCTCCAGGTAATCATTAGACCTTGTAATCCTCGAATACAAAGCTAGCGCACACCGTGTGCTACCCCGCCTTCCTTCTTGCCTATTACACCTCATTATATCCCCCGATGTTTGGCTGTCAAAATCTCAATGGGGCCCAAGAAAAATACGATATCAAGAGGAGAAGAAGTATGACGTCAATCGAACGGGCACCTCCAAGTAATCACTGCGAGTTGAGCCCCTAGTGTTTCGGCGCATCAACATATTTTGATGTCGACATCCGTGCATAATGGTAGGGCGGGTCCGGCT